GAAAAAAAAAAAAAAAAAAAAAAAAAAAAAGAAAGTAGGTCTTCAACTTATCACAAAAACTGGAGATATAAAGCTTTAAAATACATGTTTTATAATCTCTACAGTTATTTGAAATAGCTCTCTAAAATCTTCCCAAAGCATGCAAATGTCAAATTAATTTCAACAGAGGAAGATGAATAAACTTTTTAAAGGCAAATTAATTTTTAAGCATATCAGCAAGTCCACTTAATAAAAAGAAATCAAGAACAGAAATTAAATATCTAGAGGAAAGGAGAATGCACACCATTGGGGAACCACAGGGCGTCCCAGTATGGGAAGCTTTAAAATGAGAGTGCTTGAGGAGCTCGTCTTCTCTCTGCTTCTGCCATCTGCCATGTGACCCCCTGGTTTGCTGTGAAGAGTCACTACCCACCAGCAAGGCTCTAACCAGACCTGTTCTCTGGACTTTGGACTTCCCAGCTTCTGAAACTACCCCTGGGTTACTGTTGCCATCACCAGATGGACTTTGGACTTCCCAGCCTCAGAAACTTTTAAGGAAAGGGATCATGGTGGCAGATAGGGAGTGAACCGCCTGCGCCCCGCCCTGGCAGGATCCCAGAGGTCACCAGCAAGAAGAGGAACTCAGAAAGCCTGATGGTGAGCCAGAATCTCTGGTGTCGTTGCTTGCGCCGCTGGTAGCTGTTACTACCCAAGTGGATTGCTCTGAAGGATTGCTGAGACCTTGAAGGGGACTCTCATAATATGTGCACTGAGGTTTGGAGTGTGTGCCATTTTGTGAAATTTACAAAATCCTCCCCGGGAAGAAGCCATCTGGAGCAGCCGCCACTCAGTGCCCGGCCACCGCAGCTGCTGCCCTCAATGCCGGGCCAGGCTGCGCAGCCCTGCCACTGGGACTCGGGGTCCAGCGACAGCGGTATATGCCGGGGAAGGGGCTGTCGTCACCCCGGCCCCGGGCGCCGCTGGAACCGTGAGCCGAAGAGAAACTGAGCAGGCTGTGGCACGAACAGGAGCCAGGAGCACCAGGGGCGGCTAGAGGCAGCCGGGGCGGCTCTGGCTGCAGAGGCTGCCACGGGAGCGCAATGCGGGAGTGCAACGTGGGAGCGCAACGCGGGAGCTGAGACTCGCCGGAGAGAGCAGCACGAATGCCCCGCCATCT